AGACACAAAGAACTGATTTATTTTGCATCTAGTTCAGCTCTGAGGCCCTCCCAGATGTTCTGGGTTTCTTGGTGGAAATAAAACGGCTGCAGATTTTCTAGCTGGCTACAGAAAGCGGAGCGCTGCCACCAGGCCACGTCCCAGGTGAGATGTCTGCATGGCTTCCACTGCTGCTGTTTCACTGTGACTGCTCTACCTTTCCCTGTATTCACCTCAAAGCTCATTTTTCTGGAGGAGGTCCCGTTTATCTCATCCCAGTCCTCTTGAGCACGTGCATCTTCCTGTTTTGTGGTGGCTGTCTGTTTTCTTCCTACTTTTGTCCCATTGGCTCCTCGTTCATGTTGTTTTTCCCCCTTCACTCCCCATGCGAAACACAGTGCCCTCGCCCCAGTGCTGCTCTGAAGATGTTTTTTATTTCTGTGTTCTTTGGGCATCTTGTTTTATAGCCAAATTTTGAGTTTGAGGACATCTATAATCCTGCCACATTTAATTTTCAGCACATCTTCCTTCTCACGCAGTAGCTCAGCATGCAACTTTTTGCAGTACAGCAGAGTTCCTGGAATGTCTTTTCCAGAAGCAGCCTTAAAAATCCTTTATAAATTTTGTATTTCTTGGATTCAAGAGACGTTCACTGATAAACTTCCACGCACCAACTTTCTGCCTGTCAGAATAGCTGAGGTTTTGAGGCTGGGAGCTGCTCGTGTTGTCAGGTGCCCCATCTTTTGTTTTCCTTTGGTGGAAACCATTGATGAGAGGGAAGTTGTGGTTGCTCTTTGGTTGTGTTTCATTCCTTCCTGGGTCGTGGCACTTTTCCTTGACACGTAGTGAGAGCAGATTGCACTTCTCTTGTTTCTTGACCAGCGAGGCGGTGCTTGGACTTATTAGTAGGTGGCCACCCTGGTTCTGGTGCCTGGTCCATACTCCAGTAGTCATAGGTGAATGGAAGTTCTCTAACTGGTTGTCTGCTCACTTTGCAACCTTGCTTTGTTTGGAAAGGGCTGGAGGCAGTGGCCAGACCCTCCATGGTGTCTGGCTGCCACGCAGCTCTTAGAGCCTGGGTCATCTGAAGAGACAGGACACTGCATCTTCCAACCCCTTCCTTACTCGCCCCTGCTGGAATGGTTCTCACTTGTCTTGTAAAGACTCAGGTGTCTTGAGACTGAAACTGTGGGATGTTCTTGCAACGGAGAGCAGCTGGGCTCTCCAGCCCTTCCTCTCTGTTTGGAGCCAGCCGTGACCATTCAGGTGTGCTGGGTCCCACTTCAGCCCCCAGCTGGGTTGCCTGTTTCTCACTTTCACACAAAGCAAATTCCCCAGGTGACATCAGAAGGAAAGGGGATTGCCCTACAGCAGCCCGGACAGAGCCATGAGAACAAAGGGACTGAGAAGATCATCAACTGCCAACCTCAAGTGTTAATGGTCAGAGCTGGGAAGGATTTTCTTGCCAAGTCAGACAGATGAGGACCTGGTAGGAGGGCCCTCTGCTGTGTGATCCGTCGGGATGTCCCCACGGCCTGGTGCTGGATGCCAGAGGGATGCGGTGCTCGACTCCAGCCTCTTCCTCCTGCTCAGTCTCCACGGGGTGTTACAATCCAGCCTAAGGCAGGTTGCACAATTTATTTTCCTGTACTTAAGGCAGGATTTTGGCAGGCAGGGGCGGGAGGCCTCTCCGAGGAGCGCTGGCCGGGCTCCCTCCTGCTGCTGTGGGATCTCGCTGCTGTCGAAGCTCCACTCCACTGGGCATCCTGCAGTGCTGTGCTGCACATCTGAGCAGTGCTCTCCCTGGTGTGGGTGCTTCTCTGTTGGACCAAAACTATCCTTTATGATGGATAGCTGCAAGGAGGTCTCATTCTCTTCTGTCTGCTTGTGCAGGGAGAAAAGCATCTTTCCTCTCTGGCCCTACCCTCTTGTGTCCTCTGTCACCCTCCATCGCCTCCCTTCCCTACAGCTGATGTTTGTGTCAATGCACTGCTTTGCAAGGAGGGCAGCAAAGTGGCTGAGTGTGCTGGGGAGGGAGGATGAGATTGCTGGGAGGGAGGGGAGCGTTCACAGCCAGCAAAGGGCATTGAGGTGATGTGGCAGCTGGATGAGAGATAGGAGCTCTGCCTGCAAGCTTGGCCACGTCCTGTTCAGCCTGGAGTACAAAGAGGTGGCAAATGTGAAGCCCAGGAAGGAGGGAGCAGCTGAGACTGAATGCATGTTGGCATGCACAGAGGAAGGGTTTTTCAGGAGAAGAGGGAAGGAGCAGAGATGGTGGTGAAGTTGGTGAGGAATGAGAAAAATCATGGCGTTACCCGTGAAGCAGGGCGGGGAGGACTTGCAGGGGACATTCTGTTTTCGCCATGATGATCTTGAGCTGGCAGTGGAACATCAGGAAGGTTTATGCATTGGGGTGGGGATGTTGGCCCATGAGTCCTCAGAGGAGAGAATGAGCTCAGCAGGGAGACGGTGGCAGAGGGCTGTGCCAAGCCTGCGGGGCTGGCATGGGGAAGAGCATAGGGATGGGCTCCTGGCTGAAATACAGCAGGCAAGTGACACTGGTGGCATGGGACAGGAGGCAGCACGTGGAGTCCTAGAGGGATGTTCAGGGCTGTGCCGTCTCCTCCCCCCTCCATCCCAGCGCATTCACCAGGAGGAGACTCGCTGGTCTTGGAGGTCTTCTCCAACCTCGGTGAAGCTGTGGTTGTGTGTGGAGGAGAGAGATGGCACAGCCTTGTGAGGGGCTCCATCTAAAGGAGCTGGCGGCTCTCTGTGCCTTGTTTCAGTGTGGGATGAAGCACGCCTCTGTCCCACTGCTGTGCTGGGAGTTGTGGGGGAGGGGAGATGGTCCTGGGGAGGGGATGGGATTCAGTGCCCCCTGTGCAGTGCTTGGAGCACCCTGTGTGCAGCTCTCCTATGAGCGGAGGGCTCCTGAGAAGACCAACACAGCCCAGAGGAGCCTGACTGCTAGGAAAAGAAAACCCCGTGGCTAATTCAGCACAAACTCGTTATTTAATAGACAAAGTCAATATGAAAAAAGGCATTTCCCTTCCCTCCCCGAAATTTACAGTTATGAGAAGAGCCAGAGAGCTGCAGAGCCAGGCTATCTCTGGGTGACATTTACAGGGCTCAGCTTTCATCGCAGCTTGAAAAAAAAAATCCCATATGTGCAGCGATTATCTACACACTGATCTGGATTGTCTTGTTCAGCTTTGGCCCTCATCCTAGATGGACAAGGAGCAGAACACTTGGCTAGTGGCCTGAGGTCTGTGGCCTCCTCTGCATGAGCTGGGAAGAGGAGGAGCAGTCCAAGGTACTTGAGAACTCGCAGCCTTGGGACCTGAGGAGATGGAGTGCGGCTCAGATCCCTGCTGGGGGCTCAGCGCTGCACTCTTGGCCAAGGTGAGAGGGGCAGCCGTTGCTCGGCGCTGCTCTGAGCTCAAGGTGGAAGTGGCTCACAACCTATGGCAGCTCTGGATTGGGGTCACCACCCCTGGTGCCCTTTGCTGAAGGTTTTGGGAGCTGGGGGACATCAGGTCCCTTAGTGCTGGCCTTGTCCCGTGGTGTGGGGGAAGCCAGCAGGGCCCTGCTCCAGGCACGCGGCTTGGCCCCAGAGCCACAGCCACTGCTGCATCAAGTCAGTTGTCAGAAGCCTTCCAGCCGGACGCTGTCTGGAGACCTTCCAGCGACCACAGGCTCTCCCCCAGCCCATCACTGCCACAGCACAGACGGGATTTAATGGATGTCTGCGTGTTCCCCTAACCTTTCCCCTCTCTAGATGAAGCGGGGAATAAAAATAAGCCCGCAGGTTTGTGAGGACCCCCAGCCCAGACGGCGATGGCCACAACTCTGGGCTCCTCTGGACCGTGGGCCATCTCCAGGTGTGGAGCTCCCACTCACACAGTACTGCCCAGTGAAAGCAGTGCCACCCACACCAGCTCCTCGCAGATGTTCCTCTTGGCTTGAGGTGCCATTTTGGGGTTTTTCTTTGCTCCCTTCTGCCTCTCGACTCTCATACAACCGTGTGAGGGAAGAGAAAAACTGGTTCAATTTCCACCTCCCCTCGCAGTGCCCCACTGCTTATTAGTTCTCCAAATATTTCATCCTGCAGCCCAGCAGCAAGGGCTCTATGCTAACCCGATCCCAGGCAGAGGGGAAGTGGGAGCGGGTAGGACAGCACGTTATCCTCATGGCACTGCTGCAGACCAGGCTGTGTGGAGCAGGACGGCGCATCCTCCCACCCCAGCAATTTCTTCCATTTATACTTCTGCTCTCCTCACTAGTGGCTGGGATGGAGATGGGCTGTGTATCATCTTGTCCCCAGGAGCCCTCACTGGGTGTGCAGAGTGGCCCCTGGAGAGTTCACGTGAAGGAGGAGAGCTGGCTGTGGGATGCTGGTGAGCAAGGTTACGGAGAGGAGGAAAAGGAATCCCCTGGGATTTCCTTCCATCCCCAGCTTGTCCTTGGATTGCAGGTTCTCTGCTGCACCCTCTTTGCAGTCTCTGGCAAGATGCTGAGGTTGGGAGGTAAAGGGCTTTGCAAGGGGACGGGGAGCAAAGTGGGAACATCGTGTCCTTTGACAGCCCAGGCAGCTGCCGAGGAGCTTCTGTAAATCACAGCGGCTGCCAGAGCTGCTCTAACAGCTCTCCAGAGCCCAGGAAGCCTCAGAGCATCCCTGAGGCTCTGTACACGCACTCTCCGTACACTGACAGCCCTGGATGGGCTCTCGCTGCATTGTGATTAACACTGTGCCATCCCATCCCCATCTCCCTGTCCTCTGCAGCGCTCACAGCTGCATGTCCTGGCTGTGCTCCAGCCGTGCTCTGGGATGCTGAAAGCACTCCTGCAACAAATACAAACGATTGTGACAGAAGATACCCGGCCCCTAATGCTACTCAGCCTCAGGTTTAACCATCTCCCATTTGCAGTGCTCCAGAGTCAGCGTAGAGCATCCGCTGCATCCACGAGGTCAGGCACATCCCTGCTCTGGCTTCAGCAATAAATAAGCAAACCGACCAAAATAAAAGATAACAACGATCGCTTTTTTTGAGGGGGGGGAGGGTTGGTTTTTTTTTTCCTTTTTTAAACTTTAAATATATATATTTTTTTGCTCCTTTCTTTTAAAATCTGTTTTCCTCCAGGGCTCTGTCTCTGTATAGAGCTGTGCTCTCCCTGCAGCGTCTGGGTCACTTCCTCAGTCCTGGCCACAGGGCAAGAGAGAAGCAGGATCAGTTAGAGAGGGGAAGGGATGGCTGCTCCCCTTCGTGCATCACCGGCACGTGTGGATTTCCACCACCCGATGGCAGGGTTTGCACTTGACAGAGCAGCACCAGTGGAATTTGCAGCTGCACCTTTCCACCACCTCCACTTCGTCCGTATGGAAGCCCCGACCGCAGCACATGAGCTCGCAGCCATCGATGGCCTTGGAGGTCTTGTTGCACTGCCGGCCGCTGGTGCCCAGCACCCCGTTCTTGAGGTCGTGGTCACAGAAGTCAGGACTGGAGTCCAGGTAGACGAGATCCTCGTCCGTGTGCGGTTTGAACTGGGAGTTTTTCGGCACCAGCACTTTGGTGGAGCCGATCTCGCTCTGCTCGACCTCGGTGGCACCGTCGAATTTCTCCTTCAGCACGTTGCCCACTTTGCGGAAGGGAGGCATGGCTTTCCAGCACGTCTTGAACTCACACGAGCCCGACACGCCGTGACACTTGCACTCCACCCGCATGTTGTTCAGGATCGCCTGAAGGAGCACAGTGGAGAAACGAGATGGGGGTGGTGAGCGTGGGACAGGGTGTGACATGGAGTCACAGCACCCTACAGCACCCTGAGTTGGAAGGGACCCACACGGATCCCTGAGCCCAGCCCCTGGCTGCACACAACATTGCCCGCTCCCAAGCCCTGGCACCTCAGTGCTCCCAGTGTGGGGCCATCCCCACTGCCCCAGGGAGCTGTGCCGTGCCTGCTGCCCACTGGGGCGCAGCCTTTCCCTAAGCCCCCCGACCCTCCACTGACACAGCAATGACTGCAGACCCCATGCAGATCCCCATCTGTTACCTTCCGCCCCGCCTCGTTGTTGTGGAGGTTCATCAGTGCTCTGTTGGAAGATGCCCCTTTGCTCCTCTCCCGGACGTCGACAAAGGACTGAGAGAAGGCCACACCGTAGGCGATGTTATCGGAGCAGCCGGACCACTGGAAGCCTGAGGCACAGTGCAAGGATGGGACAGATGAAGTTCATCCTCCTCAGCCCTGCCCTTGCTAAAACACTGCTCATCAGCCCTGTTTGTGTTGCTCCCCGTGCTGGGGAAGCTGAACAAGGATGGCCACGGGGTGGGGGAACAACGTACCCCCTGAGCTACACTCCCAGCTATCCTTTCTGAAGCGCTTGCGTGGACTATCAGTAGGCTTTTAAAAATGTTTGTTGTACATTTTTTTGCCCTTTCTCTAAAGGGTGGCCCTGGAGGATGGGCATCTCTGTGCACTCTGTATCCCTGCTTTGCACGCTCACCCTGTGGGCTGCCGCCTTGCACGGTGCGGTCGCATCCACACTTGTCCAGCTCGCCGCTGCTGCATGCTCGGGTCACGGCGAAGGCCACCCCTGCAGAAGAGATGGCGTAGACAAACGCTGCCTCCCTCGTCCCTGCAACAACAGTGGAAAAGATGGCAGGAAGCCCAAGGGGGTTTTGTGCACCCCGGTGGGCTGCTCCACCTGCCCACCCCCACGTACGGGGTGCCCCATGCTCACCCCTCCCCGGCATGATCCAAGTATCCCAAGATGTATTTGCTCAGTGCCAAGCCCAGACCAGGCTCAGCAGACACCACGCACTGCTTGCAATAGTGACAGAGCTGGCAGCACATGGATGTGATGGGCAAGGTCATAACGCAGCAGCAGGAGGGATGCAAAGGCTGCACTGCAATGTGGGGAGAGCTCTCCTGGTGCTTGCAGGGCACTTTTGCTGTAAAATCCCTCCCGCATCCAAAAATGTTCTATTTCCTCAACCAAACCGGGGATCACCCCCTGCAGCTGCAGATCCACGTTATCACCACGCAGCACCCCGTTGCTCCCTGCGCCTCCAAAACCAGAAAACTCTTCCCAAAGCGCTCTGCAGAGCCCCCAGGCGCAGCAGAACATTCCTGTGCCCACCTGCACGGTGCACAAAGAGCCCATTTGACAAGGGGGAGAAATCTGGACACAAACACGCGGGCGGCTCGGCCAGGGACCGCGGCCGTCAGCTCTTGCAAAACCCAAATCCCCACCGTCCTCTGAGGTCGAGGGTGGCTGAGGACACGGCCCCTCCGGCTCCAAACAAGCAGGGCTGGCATTTGGGGTATGCTAGGGCTGTTTCAAGGTAGGGGGTGGCTCGCCGGTCGGGCAGAGGGCAGCTACTTTGGTGGTCGCAGCCCAGGCTTCGGTGGCCAAGCAGCAGTGGCTGGGGAGGGCCAGCCAGCACAGGGCCTGAACCGCCTCCAAGTTAATCGAGGTTAATAGTAGGATCGTGTTGGTCGGTTTTGCGCTGTGGCTGACTAAAAAGAGGCGACTTTTAGTTTCTGGTATTTCTGGTATTTCCAGTCCTGAACCTTCACAAGAAGAGATCTTCACCCCTGTGTCGAGGGGAGGAAAGTCAAACAGGGAGCTGGGGGCAGCCACAGCCTGTGTTCTGCGGGATGGGAAGGGGTGAGAGTGGCACCCCAGGGGAGGGAAGGCTGCTCCCTGGGGATGGAAGGGACCTTCCTCTCCAGCTCTGCACCCTGGCACGGTTCGGACCTCCGGGATGCCTGCACCCAGCCTGGGCTGTGGAGCCTGGCCATAAATCTTCGCTGCTCTTCGGAGGGTCCGGGTGTGCTGTGTTTTACTCTCGCTGGGCGGCAGAGGGCTGTCCTCACATGAGAGCTGCTCTGCTTGGCAGCAGTCACCGCTTCGGAGCTGCTCAGTACATCCAGCACCTATGGATGTGGAGTGAGGAGCTGGGGAGTTCATCCTGGAGAAGGGAAGGTTCCAGGGAAAGCTCCAGTACTCAAGAGCAGCTTATGGAAAGGAGAGAGTGCTTTTTTACATGGGCAGATAGCGATAGGACAAGGAGGAATGGTTTTGAACTAAAAGAGGGTAGGTTCATATTTGACATTGGGAAGAAATTCTTGCCCCTTCCCCGGATGTGCTCAACACCAGGCTGGATCGGGCCCTGGGCAACCTGGTCTGGTGTGGGGCAACCAGCCCACGGCAGGGCTTGAGGCTGGATGATGCTTAAGGTCCCTTCCAACCCAAGCTCACCTTGTGTTACCACCTTGCCAAAGACAGGCAGGGTGTCCAGCGTGGAGCAGTTCCAGCGGCGGTTGCGGAATTGGTACTGGCACTCCTCGATGGCCAGCTGGGCCCCGCGCCGCACCGAGTCCATCACCTCCAGGTTCCGCTTGCACATCTGCACCTGGCGCTGGATCAAGCCCTTCAGCTTCTCGCAGGTCTCCTCCTCAGAGATGCTTCCCACTGAAGACAGCTTTGCCAGGTACCTGCCGTGAGAGCCGGCACAGCTGGTTAGGAGGTAAGGGGAGCACAGACCCACGTTCATCAGGGACGCAGCGAGGAGACCCAGCCTATCATCCCCTGCGTAGCTGAGAACCACTGCACACCTGGGTTGCCTGCAACATGTGCCTCCACAGGTCGCATTTTTGCATGGCAGAGAGCAAGCCCAAGGAAAACAGGCAGCCCTCTGCAGCCTCATCCCCTGCCTCTCTGGGAGACCATCTGCCGGCTCCCCTTTGCCTCTGTTGCCTGCATGGAGGATATTTTCGGTGTTGTCTGAATGTGCCCGGTCAGGTCTCCTGAGTACCGGCACATCCAAGCGCTACTAGGAAAAGCCAGAGGTCTCTGAAGTCAGCCAAAACAAGCAGGACAGCCGCTCGGCTGCCAGCTCCAGCTGCCACACAGCTCCCGCACTCATCGCTGACAAACATCGCCCTCCAAACCACTTCCATCACCAAACCTGCTTTTAGCATGCCAGCCCGGCCCCCATGAGCTGCCAGCTTTCTGTCACTGGGGTTTCAAGCAGGGCTTGGAGCGGGGAGGGACAAAACCTTGTGTGCTGGGTGCCAGGTGTGTGCTGACGTGGCAGGTTGTGGCAGTGCACAATGACCACCTCCCCGTCTCTGCAGGGCGTGCAGAGAGCTGCCCCTTCTAGGGCCAGGCTCACGGCATCGCCTCGCCTGTGCTGAGTGATGAGAGCACCAGGCGAAGGCTTTTCGGAAGCCTCATTCCTCGACTCTGCCTTTCCCAGCCCTACAGAACTTGTGGGTTTTTTGTTTGCTTGTTTTTTTCCTCCTCCTCCGAGTTACGACATCCTGTGAAGGATTTTGTCTTTGAAGCACTGCTTGCCTCTGAGAAGTGACCATTCAAAAGTGGCTCCTGCTTCCTGCCCATTCCCATGTGTCCCAGGGGTCAGATCTGCTGACTTCAGCCACAAGATCCAGTTGTCACAGCCTCTTCCTCCCATTAGCCGTGCCAGCCTGCCCCAGGAGGAGAGAGCAGGATTTTCTCTTCCGTGCATCAGCAGAATTATTCACCAGCTTGGTTTCGTGCTTATAGAGATGGTGAGAAAGCTGGGTTGGCTTGCAGTGTCCGTGGGGAGTCTGCATGGCTGGCTGTCAGAAGCATCCAGCTTTCCTCATGCGTGGAGGTCACTTGATGCAATGCTGCTCGGACAGTGGGAAGTGGCAGGCAGCTGTGGTTTGAGAGCCAAGCTCTTTTCTAGCCTTTATACCAGCTAAGCATCTTTGTCCAAGGCCTTCAGCTCCTCCAAGGGCTCAGCTTGCTTGCAGAGGACCAGCTGCAAGGACCAAGAGGATGGCAGCAAACCTCCTTTGGGATCATTCAGAACACTGGAAACTGGGCCCACAGCAGCCCTGTTCCCTGCCATCCAGCTATCATTTCAGTTGGTGCACAGGAAAGCTGATGCACACCAAAGCAACTAGAGTTATCCTAAGGCACCACAGGTCAACTTGGAGCCTGGAAAACAAGAAAACTGCCTCCAGTTCTGAGCCCCGACCGCAGGTGGAATGGCCACTTCAGCTCTGCTTTGGAGGGAGGCACCATCTCATTTTCTCATGTATTTCCCAGCTCAGTGGGATTCTTCAGGCGATGAGGAGCTATAAATTCAAAGCACACATGAAGAGAAGTGTGACAGGAGCCTTTCAAGCCTTTCCAAGTAGATGCGCCTGATAAGACACCTCCCCAGAGAGTGCGTAATGGTATTTGGGATGATAAAACGAAGGACAACCATGCTTCAAAGATGGATACAGCTTTCCAAGAGCAGGTCTGGTAATTTGTTTTGCAGGGAAATAAGGCGAAGCTGTCCAGAGCGATTTCTGGTCTCTCTCCCCCACCATTCCTTCCCAGAGATGCTCCCATTCTGCAGTGCAGAGTCCCTCAGCGCTGGGGAGCCCAAGCAAGGCACTGCAGCCAGCCCTCCAGGGTCACCATGGAAGCCCCATTCCAGCACTTTGCCTGGTTCTTAATAAGGACCCTGCCCCAAGCTTTGTTTTCCTAGGCTGAGGCGGTAGAAACCACAGAGAAAGCCTTTCTTCTAGATCAAGACTGGCAGAAGAGCAAACCAAACCAAAGCTGCCCTCAGCGAGGTCTTGCTGTAGAGGGCAGCCCACCTTGATTTCCCTGCAGTCGGAGCCCTGGATTGGGACTGGAGGCTCACAGGAAGCTTCAGAACAGTCCTGCTTGTGGAAAAAATAAACCCAAATAACGGCATATTTCCTTCCCTTTCCAAGACTGGGCAAAGAATGTTTCAAGGGGCGAGCTGCTGCCCAAGCCATTTGTTCAAGTCTTGTCTTCTTGCTTCATCATCACATTTGTATTTCTTTTCTCCTGCCTTCACATCCAGACAAGTCACTCACAGAACAAGCTCCCTTTTATTAAAAATCACTGACTTAACACAAAACCAACAGAAAGCCCTTCCTTTTTTTCCATCCGCAGCACGCAGATCAAGATTGAAGTCCCATAATTGGAGTATTTGCAGTTGATCCACTCTGCAAGGTGGCAAAGAGGGAAACCTCAAATCCCGGGAGATTTGGAAAGGTAAAAAAGCCCTACTTAAAAACAAAGAACGATGATAATTTTTGCCACAGGGGTTGGCAGGTGGAGCCAGAAAGAATGGGGAGGGGATTCCCTGCCACGGGGAGGTGGGCAAATTGGAGTCACGGACTGATCCTCATTAGAGGTGGTTCAGGGAAGATGCACCAGATGTTTGAAATGTGCAAATTTCTCACATTGTCTCAGTTTGGGAATACTGAAGATGGTGTCAGCCAGGTGGTGTCACTGCAGTCTCCTATCAGAGATGCTGAGATGAGCTCAGAAGCTTCAATGTCTTCAGCAAACGCCCAAACTCATGGGGATACCTGCCTGGCTAAGGTCCCAAATGGGATGTTCCAGGCTAAGCAAAGGAAATAAAAAAAAGGAAGGGGAAAGCAAGCAAGCAAAGAGAACTCATTGGTCTGACACTGTGGGCATGGGGAATAGCTGGTCCAGCTGACAGCCCTACAACATGACGCATCCCTCCCAGACTGGCCACCGCACTCTGGGATTAGATGTCCTTCCTCTCCTTTGCTTGTAAATGTAAACCACGACGCGCAGTGTCGTCATCTGAAGGCCTGTCTGTCTCTTCCCTGGCAGAGGAGCAGCTCTATGGCTCGGTTGTACATATCTCATCTCTGGATTAAGACCATGCTTCTCACGCCCTAATCCCCACCTCCAGCTGCTGGAGCAATGTCCCATGAGGAGGCAGAGTCCCGCTCCCCAAGCTGGGCCATGCAGCACAAAACGACCCCCAAATGCTCAAACTTTGCCCTCCCCAGTCCCCCTACCCCAACCTCAGACTTTGGATGCATAGAAAACATCCTTTCACACGTCCTTCTTTGCTCGAGTTCAGCAGCCAGGAACGGCTGCAAGAGGAGGCAAGTGAAGCCATGGGGCTGAGCGACGTGGGAATTCCCCTGGTGCAGCGCTCGGGGCTACACCTGGGTTGGAGAAATTCTGATGAGTTTTTCATTTCAATCGGAATTTGCAAACACACGGAGAGAGGAACCTTCTGCGGGACTGGTTTGATCTCACCCAACTTCCAACAGACCTCGGGCCGCTTTCCATTGGCCAAGAGGTTCAATTAATTCTTCCCCCCCCCCCCTCACCCCCCAACCACCCTGAGTAATTTTGTGAAAGCACAATACTGGCTCCAGTTCTGCTGAGCCAGGCAGATCCTGCACGGCACCTTCCCAGCTGCACACCGCAGCGGCTCTGTGCTGGAGGGATGCATTTGGGGTCACCTGCAGCAATAGGGGCTGAATCCCAGGGCTGGGGATGATCTGCTGCTGGCACCCAGAGCATCGCCTGTCCTCAGCCCAGCCTTGGGAAGCGCCATTTCTGTGGATTTGCAACGTTTCCAAGCTTTGTTTTAAGAAAAAAAAAAAGGTGTTGCAAGAGCCTGCGGCGTTGTGTTTATAAGGGAATATGGAGGAACCTCCTGCAAACTGCCGACCTCTGGGGGTTGCTCAGCAATTTCCCATTTTAAGAAAGCCCAAACCCATGGCAGCGGTGCATCTTTCCATCTACGAGGATGAGTTAATTGGGAAGACAACAGCTCCCAGCAGTGCAATGCAAACATTTGTCACTGCAGTGCGAAAATCTCTTTCTGACTCATGGAGTCACCACCAACCACTGCAAAAAGCAGAAATCTGCTTCTCGCCATTGCTTGTGTTTGGAGCTGAACGGATCCTGTCCTTGCATGACCTGCAATGTGAGTGAGATAGAAGCACCTGATGTCCACCCTTCCTTGGATAAACCTCTGCTACTCTGTATGAAGGTATATTTTTATTTAAGGCTTCATTGGGGAAAGGAAAATTCTGTCATCAGTGAGGAGGCAGGGAGTATCTGTCCCTCCTGCCCTGAGCTCGGAGACAAGCTGAACTGGATGGAAGTTCAGCATCAGGATTTGCAAAGGCCTTTCATCTGCAGGATGCAACCCTTAAAGCCGTCTGTTTTCATAGCTCAAATCACAGGCAGGGAAGCCCTAAGCGTGCAGCATCACCAGGGCGAGGAAAGGAGCTGAAAGCAAAGAAATTCTCCATTGGACCCAATCTGAGCAACTCTGCCAAAGTAGATGTGACCTGGGAGCCATCCTGGTGCTGTCTTTGCACCAAAAATAAGAACGCAGGGAGGGGAGCAGGGATCTGAGGGCACAGATGTGCCCTGGAGCTACCTGCACCTGCTGGATGGTGCTGCAGCCATGGGGCACCCGAGGGGAAATGCTGGACCGGTTCCTCGCCTGGTGGGAAATGGGAGAGTCACAACGACAATGCGAAGAATCCTGCATGAAATGGGACTGAAGCAGGGTGGGGGTGAAGTGAACTCCCTGCTGTCAAAGCTGGGGAGATTCATCTTAAAAATAGAGCCTGGCTTAAGATCAGAGGGATGCAAGCGGAGGACCCGGGTCTGCTGCTCCTGCATCTCTTACATTGCACAGTGACACAAAGTGGCACAGCATCAGAGCTGAGGTCTACCCGGGCTGCTCCCCAGCAGGACGAGCGCTGAGCTGGGGTTTGTGGAGCACCTTGGCACACCCAAATGAATGGGAGCCCCAAAACCCCAAATCTTTTCATCCCTCCCTCCAACCCTCAGAAGTGGTTGCTGTTATCCAGGCTTGTTTGGACACTTACAACGTCCTCAAGCTTTCCCAGAAAGCTCAGTTTTGCTTTTTTCTAAAGGCTTTTGAAAGCCCAGCTGCACCCCTGGCCCTTTAAACCGAGCCTGAAGCACAGATGGAAGTTTTAAACCCCTGTAAATAAGGGGTAGACGGAGCTGCCGGTGGCACACCCTGCTCTGAGCCTCCTCCAAAGCCACTTTTAGATGTTTAACAGCAGGAGAAGGGAGAAAGGCTGCAGCAACTCCTAGAAAACACCACAAAAAGGGCCCTGCCCATGAAGGACCCCTGTGTCACTGATGCTTTTCAGACATGAGGATCGACTCGGGTTCAAGCAGCCCGAAGAGCCGCAGGCACAGCAGCAGGTCCAAGAGCTGAATGGAGGCTGTGAAACGAAAGGTGCTTTGGGAATAGCTGAGCTCCTTCCTGTGTATGAAGCACATCCCTGGACTCCTCCAGCAGGACCTTCCCATTATGCACATCACAGCCAGACAGACCTCAGAGCACCCACCGCTGCCCTTCATTTAACATCAAATTCTTTGCTGGCAGGAAAAGCTTTAAGGCTCCCTGAGCCCCGAAAGACAGGAGGAAAAACGAGCCTGCAGCTGTTATTAGAAGGAGAGAAAAGAGCATCACTTTGGTTTGGATGACAGAGAGGTTTTTCGGATAGGCAGAGAGCCAAACAGCAACTCCCCAAACACAGGCACTGAGAAAACACACCTGAGGTTCACTTCCCAGCCAGATAGAAGGATCTGGGTCTGCTTAATGGAAACATTTGGCAAAGCTGCTTCTATTGCAGAGCTCTCTGCAGCACGGTGATCCCTCCCGCCGCTTCCTTGCAGGGCACCGGGCCGCTGCAGGGAGCCTTCAGCTCAGGTGTTGCAAGCTGCGTCTCCAAAGCACTCAGGGAATGCGAGTCCCGACAGGTCAGGAGGAGCTTTAGAAAAAGTCTCGTCTTGTGAAAGGCACCCCGAGCTTAATCACCGATCCAGCAGGTTTCTGGAAAAGCAAACTTCCCCGCACGCTGCCATCCGCCTCCGCGCAGGGCTGCAGAGCCGAGCACCTGGGGGGGCGCCCAGCAGCCGTGCCCAGCGCCCTCCTGCCGGACCCCGCGCCGTGCGCACGGCTCCGTGAGACGGACGAAGCGCGCTCATTCCTCGAATATCTGATAACTCCTGGGTTCCTTCTAACTCCGTTTATTGCCTCTGGCAGCCTTTGTTTCTGATGTGAGGAGATAAACAATGGGAATTGTCTTAATCCTAAAAGACGAAGGATAAGAAGTGCCGAGCGGGGGACGATCCTTTTATCAAGATACATTTGGAACATCAAAAAAAAGTTGACCCTTTCTTTCAAGCGCGCAGAAATGGATCTGCTTTTCCTCCCCTGTTGGCAGGAATGAGCCCTCCGCTCTCCCGCCGCCGAATCCCCCGCGCCCACCCCGATGCTCGGTGAGCACGAACGGCCGCGCACAGCCCCATCTCCGCCGCGGCACCGCGCCTCGCTGACCTCACTGCTGCCACTTAACCTCAGATCCCCCTTCGCCGGGCGCTTCCCCTCCCCGGCAGCGTTTCCCTGTCCGGACCCTGCGGGAAAGGCGCTCGCACCGCTCCCCGCGCACAGCTTCAAGCCCACCTCGGAAGCGGCTGCGATCCACCCACGCTGCGCCGGAGCCGCGCGGGGTGCAAGTCGCTCCATCTGGCGAACGAGGGGGAGGAGGGCTGAGCGCTTAACGCATCCCATGCGGACACCGACGGGCAGCGCTTTTTCCACCGGTGGGATGCGGGGAGAACAGCACCATCCCGGTGCTTCCCAGCCTGATTTTGGAGCATCCTCCAAACTCAGCGCACCTCCCGCAGCCTCCAGCCGACGGGAGCCCATCTCCGGATGCAGGAGTGCTCCTCGAGCTCCTGGGCTATCGTGGGAACCACCGGAGCGCGTTGTGCCTATGGACACCGTGCCTGCACCAGGGCGGGGGAGCAGGACATGACACAAACACGGGTCTCCTCTGCACACATCGGGAACGCACTGACTCTCAGTCTGCCATCAACGCTGGGAGTGGGGAAACGGCGTCTCCCCAAAGATGGGATGAACGGAGCGGACACATTGCCTTCATCTGCATTTTGATGGGAGGCGCTGCCATGCCCCATCCCTCCTGTCCCGAGGGTCTCCCCTAGAAGAAGCCCTTGGTGAACGGGCAGGAATTTTCCAGAACTGTTTCCTCCCCTGTTTACCTTCCACGTTAGTTCAGCATTTGCTCAGCGTGCTCCGGATGGCACCCGGCTCCTCCACACGGCGGTCCCCACGTCCCCGCAGGGTGATGGAGTGCTGGGTGTGAACTTTGCCTACTGCGGGTCCCCGGGGTCAGCATCCGAACTATCTCTGCTTGCCTGCCCGCTCCCTGCCAAGTCCTTCCCGGCCCCGTTGCCCCCACGGGGCGCCCGGCCAAGCCCCAGGCCCTGCTCTGACCCGCCGGCTCGACCTCACTTTCCCAGCGCTGCCCGAATCAGTAATTTAAGAACAAAAGGTGGACGGGGGCTTCGGCGCCCACCAAGTTATCCTATAACCAGGCTGGAGCAGCCGGGGAGAGCCGGCATCCCCGCACCCACCTGCACCACCCGTCCCCGCGGCTCCGGGACCGCGCACCGCGACCTCCGTCCCCCGCACCGGGGTGATGCTGCCCGACCCCGGCGGCACCTGCTCTGCAGCCCCCGCGGAGCAACAAGTGCCGGAGGCGGCGGGGGCACCCCTTCGCTCGTGGCTACTCACAGCCAGTTGCTGGCGTTGGCCGAGAAGGTGGCGAGGATGATGAGCAGCAAGGAGCGCAGGAAATACTCCGGGCTCATCCTGGAGCGCAGGCGGGGAATGGTGCGGTGCGGTGCGGTGCGGTGCGGTGCGGTGCGGTGCGGTGCGGTGCGGTGCGGTGCGGTGCCCCCCGCCCGGCCCGCGGCCCCCAGAGCAGCCGCCGCCGCAGGTGGGAGCCGGGCAGGCGGCGGCGGGCGCTGCCCGGTGGATGCGCCCGCGGCGGCCGCCCAGCCCGACTGTCAGCTCGGCCGGCCCATCCCGGGATGGAGCGGAGGGCCGGGGGCGGGCCGGGGGCGGAGGCAGTCCCGGGGGCGGCCCCACATCGCCGCTACTGGGGCGGATCCTGCCGCTGGGGACACCCCCGGGGCGGGACGGCAGCGGGGACGGCACCGGTGCCGCTCCCATCGCTGCGCTGTGCCCGCGGTGGTGCCCCTCCGCTGCTCCCGAGGCGCTTTGTGATGGCCTTTGGGGTTCCCCACCTCGGGTTTTCCTGGGGGTGAACGGAGGAGGAGTGGAGGGATTCCTACACGTTTCGTGCTGTCGGGATCGTTTCCGTGCGGCTCTGAGTGCAGAGCTCGGGATGGAGCGTGGCGGTGCCTTGGTTTTCCGTCGTAGAATCGTAGAATGGTCTGAGTTGGAAGGGACCCTAAAGGCCATCAGGTCCAACCCCTGCACCGAGCAAGGGCACCCACAGCTCCGTCAGTGCTCAGAGCCCCATCCCCTGACCTTGGGTGTCTGCAGGAGCAGAGAATCTACTCTGTTCTCTACCACTTCTCTGAGCAACCTGCTGTTGATGGTAGACATTGCGGAGAAGGCATTTCCTCCTGTTCCATTGTCGGGAATTTTCCAGATTCGGTTTTTTGGAGGATTCAGGACAAAAAGGCAGCTTCTGGGTGTTCTGGGAGAGGGTCATGGGTTAGGATTTCCATCGCCAGGCATGTGGAGGATGACACCTGACCGCAAACCAAGGACTGAATCCACACCTCAGGTTATCTAGAAAGGCTGAATGTTGGGGACCTCAGTAGCTCCAGCAGCCTGGTTCCCCATCCCTGCATCCCCATCCCTGAGGCCATAGGGTGCAGTGGCGATGCCCCTCTGCTCCCCATCCCCTCGTCTCCATCTTTCCTCCCCAGCCCACATGGGCACAAACAACTCGATGTAAGGCCAGGAGCAACACGAGATGACACGAGACGGCTGCCTGGCATGAAACCTAAGATCCCAAGCACACCAAATCTCCTCCTGTCAATGTTATTAGTTAGGTCCATTACTAAAACCTCTTGCTCCCATCTCTAAAATCTTGCCAAGCTGGTTTGGAGCTATTCAAAATTCCCTTTGTCTTTTCAACTCCATTTTCCTGCTCGCAGCAAGGCTGGAACACGCTTATCCAAAGCACGGCAACTCGCGCTGTGCTGCACACACGCCTGCCTAAGTGTGTTACACCTACTTTAAAATCTCTGCATTGGTTCCCTGTCAAAGCGAGGATTTAATTTCAAAGTGCTTTGACGTATTTTCCAGCTCCTGACAGCCTGCAGCCCACCCTCGCCCAGTCATTCATCTGCCGTTGCTGATTATCCCGGTTGGAAGTGGGATGCGGGCTGGTGGGCTGTGAATTGGAGGTTGTTGCTGCGAGGCCTGAGCAGGTAATTCACTGCAACTGGAGCTGATTAATCTGGCTCATCGGGCACGGCAAAGCTGTGGCCTTTCTCTTGCTTCTAATCACTGCAAGCGTTGAGTGAAGTCGTCAGGAAGGCAAAATCTAACTGAGGGGCGGATGGGAAGGGGAGGATGGAGGGCGCATGTCTGGATGGAGCCGTGTCAGCGCACAGTGATATTGTGTTTGGTCTCCCATGCATCATTCCCCTACAAAGATCATTCAGTCCAACCTCCAGTCCCCACTATTCCTGCTGACAGAATCTTGAAGGTTGGAAAAGACCACTAAAACCATCAAGTCCAACTGTCCATCTACCACCAGTACTGCCCACTGAACCACGTCCCTATTGGAATCATAGAATGACTCAGGCTGGAAAAGACCTCCATCAAATCCAACCACCAAACCACTCTCTGGGCATTCTGATGCCTCTGGGGCTTATCAGGTGGGACTGAAAGTCCTGGTATCGTTAAGGCTGGAAAAGACCACCACGATCATCCCTTCCAACTGCCCACCTACAGCCAGCGCTGCCCACTACCGCGTCCCTGATAGAACCATTAAGGCTGGAGAAGACCATGTGTGGCAGCTGCAGTGGTCTCAGCCACGTGATGGGGAGAAGGGCTGTGAGAAAGGCTGAGGCAAAGCTGCAAGTGAGGCTGCAGGGGTTTGCACTGAATAGAAACAAATTCTGTTTTGAACTGAATGGAACATAAATATCAGACACTTAGCAACAGTACATGTATTAATCCTGTCCTGGAGAAAGGAGAAGCTGTTCTGAGAGCCTCCAAACCAGAAAACACAGGACAATTGTGCTCCTTTATAGAAACTTGTGGTTTTTCTGATGAAATTTATTTCAAACTATCCAAACATTTCAGAGCTGCTCTGATGACTGCTCAGGGAAGGTGCTGTATACGAGCGCAGCTCACAAACAGAAGCAGCTTTACCAAATGAAAATTGCTCTGACAAAAGAACTGTGTCCAGTGCATTATAAACGGAAAGTAACCCGTGCTCACCTGGTTGGTGGAGGTGTGCTAAATAGGGGACGGCGGTCAGAAGAGAATCACGGCGTGCAAAGGTGGGTTTTCTGCAGCCATGTGGGTCGCAGAGCCCTTCAGCAGGCGTGCTGGTGGCTGTGCGTTTATTTGTGTCAGTTTTCACAAGCCACAGATGCAGGCATTCAGTCCTAACAGATCTGCTGTGCCGTCACCTAAAACCCAGCGCCAAGGCTGGGAGGCTCACTGTTCTCTGTATATTCTCAGGTGTGGCATTGGAAGAGGCGTAGGGATCCACAGTCTTTCCTTTGGGACGTTGCCTCCGAATGCACTGTGAAAGGTTCCCTGGGATAAAGGAATGTGAGTGCCTACGGTCAGCCTGTGACGGGAGCTGAAGAGCATCCCTGAATGTGGGTGTTCAGCCCGAAGCACTGCGGAAGAACCAAGGTTGCCACCAGCCATAGGCATCCTTTATCGTGGGGCTGGGGCTGAGCTGCCCCCTGGCTTGGGCTGTCTTCACAGTACAGTGGGCAGTGTTGGTGGTAGGTGGACTTGTTGATCGTAGAAGACTTTTCCAACCTTAATTATTTTGTGATTGCAGAATCCAGGGTTTAGATTATATCCTGACTGGCTTCACCGCTCCGCCAGCCTCGTCCAAACCAAACAGGCTGTGTGCAGCTCTGCTGAAACAAACCTCAGTCCAGGTGCTGGGCAATGCGTGCACACACCGGTGCACACACAGCAAGGCAGCACCGGAGTGACAGCCAGCGACTGCAACCTTTGCCCTACTCACCCAGCCCAGGGAGAAAATGAGATTGCAGGCTGGTTGGATACATAACACCGCGACTGACTCCTCTTCAGTGCTTATTATACCTCCAGGCATTCGGGAGCACCAGGGCTTCGTCCCCCGGTGCAGGAGCTGTTGGGAAGGCATGCTCAGCTGAGCGGGGTGGGAGTGGGGAATGCAGCCCCACAGAGGCTGTGGTTGAGGGACACAGCTTGGTGGGGATGGTTTGATGGTTGGACTGGATGATCTTAGAGGTCTTTTCCAACCTGAATGGTTCTGTGATTCTATGCTAGCAAAGGATCTTCCAGGTTGATGGTGGCCAGGGAAGGAATGGACAGGATCAAGCACATCTGGCCACTGGTGGCTGGTGGTGGAGCTGAAGACACCCAGCACATCAGGTCCTACATCATGCTTTCTTATCATTATTGAGGTGCTCAGCTGAAGCGATGCCCTCACGTCTCTCCTCTGTGTGACCGTGCTGTGGGGATGCATCCTGATCCAGCTTCCTCCTGCTAGTGCTCTTACTACTGTGGTTTTGGCCTGTGTTTGGTAGACATCAGCCTGTCTTCCTTCTTCCTGAGTAGGGAGTGTCTTTAACGAGCACAATATTTCCCCCCCACATCAACCCCCAGTGGGTCCTAATGCTTGCGCTGAACCATTTCTTTCACCACCTTAATGTACAATCTGCCTCCAACAAAGGGGAGGAAACAGGAACCTGATATGAGCCACCTTCAGGTGTGTTCTGAGAGCTGGTCCTTTGTGTCATTGAGTCCCTTGGATGTGTATGGAGCCAAGCGTTACCTGTGACTTCCCAACATCGTGCTGCTGGCTGGCGAAAGTTCTTCAACATTGTCCTTTGATTGGAAGACCATAGAAGCATAGAATAGTTTGCACTTGGAAGGAACTCTTAAAATCTGTCTGGTTTGGCCTCCCTGCAATGAACAGAGACATCTACAGTTTGAGCAGACGTAGGAACGGACGTTGGGTGATAACCAAGGGACAGCTTTCTGCACTCAGACATCACTGGATCCACCATTTTGCTGAAAATGCCACCCATAGTCAAACCTGATTCCCTTGTTTCACCTGGAACATGCAAGGAACGATGCTTGCAGAGCCGTGTTGGTCTGTTTCGACCACTTGGACTTCATTTTATCTCGTGTGCAGGAAACTTCTTATGTTAAGTAACGTTCTTTTCAGAAAATGACTAATTAAACAACAGAACAGGAAATGTTAGAGACAGTAAAATCCCCTCAGCTGTCCAACACATTTCTACATAAATACGGTGGTAAAATGTTGAAAACAAAATCTTCCAGAGACAAAGGCGAGCGGGCGACCTGGTGACACAGCAGTGAAAAATCTCTACTTTGTTATAATGAAATGAAACCACCGTGTTTATCCTGTGCCTTGGAGGATCTGCTGCAGTTATTCTTAGGAGGGGAGAGAAGCCATACAGAAATCAGAATAGCCCAAATTTTTTGCTAAAATATTTGTACAAATCAGGTTATTCCACTGCAGCAAAGGGCTCCATTTGAAGCTATTGCTTCAGAAATTATCCTGCAAAACTGGAAGGACCGTAAATGCTTGGCTTTAATAGCTAGCTACATACAATACAAACTTAATCAGTGGAGCTTGAAACGTTTGTGGGAAGAAAGGCGGAGTTTTACGGCTCTTTCTCTGGAGGTGCGTGGAGGACTGGACTACAAGGCTGCATAATGCACACTGGGTGGCAACACCAATCCCATCTGCTGGAGTCACCACGGGGT